TGATGTCTTCTATATCGATATATATATATATATATATATATAATTATATAAAATTTATAATTATATGAATATTTAAATATAGATCTGTACTCTCCCAAAAACACACACATAAATACATAAATGAATAAATAAATAAATAAATAAATAATATATATATAAACATGCGTACATACATACATACAAACATACATACATACATTACATACATATATACATACAAACACACACACAGAGATATATATATACATACATATATGAAAACACCCCCCCCACCCCACACACAGAGATATATATGTATAGAAATAATACATATATATGTAGATATATGTATTTATTTATATACATTTATACATATATACTTATATATATATGTATGTACTTATATACATATAATTATAAACATACATACATACATACAGACATATATATATATATATTTATGTATGAATATTTAGATATACATGTACATTGTATATTTATATTTTAATCCACACATATATATATATATACATATCCATACATACATGGATACTTACAAAAAAAGGTATACAAACATACATACATACACCCATCCATATATATATATATATATGTTTATATATATATATATAATATATATGTATATATGTATATACAAAAATATGTGTATATGTATGCATGTATATATATATATACATACATACATATATACATACATATATATGTATATATATATATACACATATACGTATATATAGATATAGATATCTATATATATACATATATATTTATATACATATACATATATACAATCACATATATATAATATATATTTATATACATCTATAAGTACATATATATAGATATATGTGTGTGTATAGTTATGTTCTATACATATATATAAATACATATACATGTACATATACATATAAATATATATATATATATATATATACACATATATATATATGTATATGTATTTATGTTCGATATAGGTATACGTGTATCCACATACACACACACACAAACACACACACACAC